CAATCTCGCATCGTTCACCATTTATAGTTTGTTTTTATCATGTGTATAATAAAAGCTGCACCAGGACATTACCGACACCCCTTATATTTTCTGAATACCACCAAGAAAAGTTCAAGTGATAAAAATGTATATATCCAACTATCGTAACATATTGTTCTGCGGAGGTATCAAAGTGAGCACGTGCGGAGTAGTTGGGATGGTTTCCGCTTCATCGTAATAACATTGTTAAGCAGGTCTTTATTATACTGTAAGGTTCTGGCTTTGTCGTGTGGTGTTTTAGGGCTAAGGTGCCACTCCTTCCGAGTGCTGTGTTTATTGGAGTACAGATCCTGAATCATGCAGGAGGGTTTAGACCTTAGGGTCTTTGTACCAGTTGCCTCCAATGCTTGCAAACAAATAATAAGGTTTAAATAAAAGAACACAGAGTCGCGCATCGCTCGTTTTCTCTGAAAGAAGTTAAGTATGACCTAAATAGTGTTTATCAAATGTGTCAATGACACGTGAAAAGGCTTCAGTCTCAAGATGTCCAACACACCCAGCCATATATTGTTTTATGGTCTGTTGGAGAGTCTCCACGTTAGCACGTAAACATAGTTAGAATTTCTGAAGGTATTAAATAACATGCGATATTTATTAAATATAGTTTAGAACCACGAAAAATACTTTAGTGGATCTTGTGTGTCTCATTAATAAAACTACGTAGTTTAGAACCACGAAAAATACTTTAGTGGATCGTGTCTCATTAATAAAACTACGTAGTTTAGAACCACGAAAAATACTTTAGTGGATCTTGTGTGTCTCATTAATAAAACTACGTAGTTTAGAACCACGAAAAATACTTTAGTGGATCTTGTGTGTCTCATTAATAAAACTACGTAGTTTAGAACCACGAAAAATACTTTAGTGGATCTTGTGTGTCTCATCAATAAAACTACATATCTCTCAAGAATCTATGAGATAAGGAAATATTTATATCGAAAAAGTTGGGGACCTTTCTCAGGGGACAAGGGACTCGGTTTCGAATTCCGAAAAGACACATTTATACTTCTGATAATCTTCTCAGAACGTCAGTTTTATACTTCTGATAATCTGCTCAGAACTTCAATTTTGATACTTCTGATAATCTGCTCAGAACGTCAGTTTCATACTTCTGATAATCTGCTCAGAACGTTAGTTTTGATACATCTGATAATCTGCTCAGAACGTTAGTTTTGATACATCTGATAATCTGCTCAGAACGTCAGTTTCATACTTCTGATAATCTGCTCAGAACGTCAGTTTCATACTTCTGATAATCTGCTCAGAACTTCAATTTTGATACTTCTGATAATCTGCTCAGAACGTCAGTTTCATACTTTTGATAATCTGCTCAGAACGTCAGTTTTCAATGAAATTCGATGAACTTATGAGTGAAAGTAAAGAAGAATACGTTACAATACGTCAACTGTACAACACCTGCCGTATCTAGTGCCGTTGGGGACATTCGCTCAATACCAAGGTTCGTCATGCCGGCCTGGATACGACAGACATACTAGTGGTCTGGGTGCTACTTGTTAAGTAAAAAAACTGTTATTATTAATGGATTTATTTACAAACCAGATTTTCATGGTAAGGATTAATAACACAATATCATTTGTTTATTTTTCTAACGTTAACATGACTGTTATCCAGGAGAACAGGAGAACCACATCCTAGGTTAAAGGTAAACAAGTTTCCGGGTACTTCAATTATAACGCTCCAAATCCGACATCGATACCCGAGTTAGGCAGACCAAAGGTAGCCCTTGTGTAGCTTTAGGCTTAACAACAAACAAACAAAAAAAAATACTGCCAAGTTACTTCAAACTAAATTAGCCAAAATGTAACATTAAATAAGTGGAAGAAGGCCGAAGAAGGGCTAATAATTCACGTCATTAACTAATGAAAGTTTTAAAGTACACGTTTAGAGTCTGTTCACCTACCTCTACTTGGAGGGAAGAGTAACCCTGAACCCAGTTTCCGTAAGTGAATATATGACGACAGTTTCATTAATGTATACTCTTATCTGTTTTGTTCTTTCTCTGCTTAGATTAAGACACGTGAAGGAAATGATAATTATCTTTTCAATTTAATTTATATATCCTTTTTAGTAAATGTAGAGGGAGAACTTTATACAGAAATCTACCTAAAAAATTATCAAGCTTTTTAAATTGCGCTTATTTTAGTGTGTGTGAAACGTTAGAAACCATTACTACTACAGGGTTAAAACAAGCTTGTTTGTTAACTGTACATAATACGTGACATTACTACTACTACAGGGTTAAAACATGCTTGTTTGTTAACTGTGCATAATACAGAACATTACTACTACAGGGTTAAAACAAGCTGGTTTGTTAACTGTACAAAATACGTGACATTACTACTACTACAGGGTTAAAACAAGCTGGTTTGTGAACTGTACATAATACAGAACATTAATACTACAGGGTTAAAACAATCTTGTTTGTTAACTGTACATAATACAAGATACTACTACTACAGGGTTAAAACAAGCTGGTTTGTTAACTGTACATTATACAGAACAT